TCTCTCCTCCTCTCTCTCTCTCTCTCTCCATTTATATTCAACTTTTCCGCTATCATTTATATCTATATTCGAAAGAGATTTTCCAATTGTATTCACCTTTAGTTGGGTAAGAAGAGGACAACTTGAATCATAAGTTTTTCGAGTACAACTGAAACATCAACTTTTTCAAAACTTTCTAAAATAATTGAATTCATATTTACTTCATTTTAGTAACCAAAATCCCATTTCGAATCTATGCCAAGGCCAAAATGTTATGATAAATGTCGAATATTTGAGTAGTGGTAAAAGACTAATTGGTAGTGCCTTCCCATTCGTTTCCATTCATTACCATTTACTTCATCTATTATCTTCAACGTCTTAATTAGTCATAATTCATTTTGCTTCTCACAGTACATTCTAATTGCTATTTGTGACACTTAAAGAAGTCACCTCGTGCCAAACCAAAAACTTTGCTGTTATCCTCAAGCATTAATCCGCGATCATTCAAAATTATTTTATTGAAAATTTATTTATTTTGATAGCGTCATCCCGAACCGATAAATGTATCTTAACGAGGGAAGTTCCAATTGTTCAAAATGGCGTTTTTGATAAGTTAAGATCGATACAAAGTGCTAGGCTTATCGATAATAGCCATTGAAAATGTAGCCATGTCTTCCTGCTTGCGGAAACTACCAGAAGTGTGTACTCTCCCTAATTTTAAATGTACTCATTAATCATTTTTCTTGGACACCGTGTGATGATCCAAATTTGGCGGTATGAGTCAGTTGGTAGTCTAATTCCCATAACAGAGTTTTAATCTGCCATCTTCCATCTGTTCATCCATAAAATTACTCAACAATGACCAGAAGTCGGTTAAATCACATAACCCAATGTATAAGTTATTCAAGCAAACCGTTCATTTGTGCAAGGCTTTTACACTGTCAGTTACTTCTCTGATCCTCACCAAGCTCTTTTTTTTTGTTTGACTTTCTGATTTATTGCATTAAAGCCAAATTCTTTAAATTTTCATTTGCTCAAATTCCTACGAAAACAACTCAATTTATCTACAACAGTTGTTGTTTATTTCCCATATTTTATCAACATTCTTCCATTTTTGGCTTTCCATTCATAAATCAAATTTCAAAATAACTTTTCTGGTTCGTTTTAATTCTGATAGGAATTTAGTTATTGTAAAATATTCAAATCATCCAGTCATTTTTTGATGGCTTTCATCTAAATAGAAGAATGCAATAATAAAAAATGAAGTTGGGGAAGTAATTTCAGAAGCTTTATAGTCTTAAGTTCGGTTTCTTTTTTTTCAGACTCAACATAAAATTTTTCCATAGTGAATTACAAAATTATGCTGCAATCACTGCAGTATACTCTAACAGATGAAAATAAGTAACTGCAAAAGACTTACTTACCAGGTAGTTATTGCACTTGCCAAAAACATTTGGAACGCTTAATCTCCAAGTAGATCGTTCGAAAGGGCCACAGCAATTCAAACATTACTGATTTGAACTTAATCATTCTCGTTCACGATTTTTGAAGAATGGCCATATTCCTTCATTTAAAATTATTAGACAATGCATGATGGTATCTTACTGATATTTCACTCCTATCAGTAAAATATCTCCATAATTTGTTTATTCTTTCAGTACGTATTTTCTACTGCAATTACAATAATGTTGTTGATCTTAAAAGAATTCTTTACTACTAAAAGATCATCTCTATTCTTTTCATCCCTAAGCTTGTCATCAAAAAAACGACATTTTCTTTTCTTTTTTCTTTAATGCTAATGTCCTCAAATATTATGTTGATAATTTGATGAATACTTTTGAATAATGTTTTCAGGTGGAAATAAAAAAAGAATTACACAACAAAGTGAACTTATGAATAGAAATATTTTTCTTTTCTTTCAAAGTAACAGATTGGAAAAAAACTGAGGAGTGAAGTGTATGCAGATGTTCGTTGTGTTTATTTTTTGATTCACTGTCACAGTATACGAATATTACCTCTCTTCCAATGATGTTATCTATCATTGCTTGTTCGAAGAGAAATTTCTCAATTTCAAATTTAGATGTGCTCTTTAAGACTCGCATTAATCTATCGAATAATATCTTTTAAAAGCCAAATTAATACACCATTCCTTTCTGAAATATAATTACATTTGGAAATTGAATTTGAGAGGGTTCGTTACTCCATGTTATCAAACTATTACGAGAGAATCTGACTGTTTAA